TCTAATGTCAAAATCACATCGTGGTGGGGTAATTATCGCGCTGTGGTAACCATTTGACTCCGCGGTCAAAGGCAATATACTTACACCACCGCGCCATGGGGATCTATTTCTTGTGTTTTAGTAACAGGATATCAGCAAAGTGCATTGCTAATTCCATTACGGCCTTGGGAACAATTGTTGTCCTATCTTCAAACCTTCATAACTCATTCGTTCTATACCCGTTTTCTATGATATTATATCCACGCGAAGGTGAGGATATACTCTACAACTTTGTTAAGTCACTTTTCACTGACTTAATATGAGTCTTAATCTAATAAGTCACAAACTTGGCCTAAAAAGCATAAAAATTCTTATTTTACCCTTTTGACCAAAATGCATATTCTCATGCATTTCTTCTCTTTGGGGCTTTGCATGTGTCTGTTTGTATGACATGTAGTGGCGGTACATTTGGGTTTTTGAGTGGTAGTGACCGAAGATCTCTAATGAGATATGGGTTATTAATGGGATGGAGTGACGACAACAAATATGGTGGTAGTATACATGAGGAGATCTAGAAAAGCTTATGGCAGAGATAGAGGTGGCAGAGGAGAACTGGGTAGTGATGGAGGTGGTTAAAGGAAGTGATGGTGGTCGTAGACAGTAGTGGATGGTGATTTCAAACACTAGATGTTCGTGAGTGTGTGTTCTCTTGAGTACATTAGAGATAGGAGGGGTGGGAGGTGGAGTGAAGTGTATGTATATGTGTAAGTTTTCAGTTACGTATGTATATGTGAAGGTCTTTGATTTTAAATTCATAGGGTGAAGAAGCTGGGATGAATAATACGATTAGAGGGGGAGAGAGAGAGAGAGAGAGAGAGAGAGAGAGAGAGAGAGAGAGAGAAATGAAAGGGAGGGTTACTGGTGTAGTGGGTTTGGGTGGGATTTTATGTTTTTTTATAATTATTTGAATACTAAAGTAAATAAAGGAAATATAAAAACGAAATAATAAGAGAAAAATAATCCTTTCAATTTTAACAAATCCATGAAATTTTTTATATTTTGGATCATCCATGCAAATTGGAAATTTTGTGGCCCTTATCAACAGATTTTTGCAAAGCACAAGGACCAGTTTTGTAGTTTTGTCTTATTTTATTTTTATTTTTTTAACTCAGACCGGCCCTATGGTTTGATTATATTGCTTTGTTGGTCACTGACCGGCATAAAATGACCGGTATACAATATATATTATTTTAATTGTTTTCATTTTTATTAACTTATTAAAACAATTTGTTAAATAGATGTGGGTCCACCACCCTCAACACAAACCTCTCCCATACTCACCCTCACCCTCATTCTCTAAAAAAAATTGTCGATCTTCCTTGCACCTACCTTTTTCATCTTACATGCAACCTATTTATCTTCATCTTCCTACACCAATTTATGAACAATGAAACCATAAATCAATGAAGCCCAAATATGATCTAATCACAAAAAGAAACTGGATAGAATCGATTAACAAAAAACACACACTATATATTAACAAAAAAAAAACCCTAAACCTAAACAACAAAATCAGGCTTAAATAAAAATCTAGGCTTAAGATGAAATCAAACCTAACTTCAAATTCTTAGATAATCGAGATCAGAAAGGATATTCTAATCCATCAAAATAAGAAAAAAAAAAAAATCAATACATTAGACTTTCAATGAAAACAACCCTAGCTTTATAAATCCTTTAATCAAAATCCAAGGCTAAGAATACAAAGGAATCATTGAAGCAAACATTCAGATGAAACCTTATATGAAACCATTGCTCTTATCGTCGATAAACCTACAACATACATAAATACGACACATACGACTGTGGGTTTTTACTCTTAAGCAGATTCAAAACATAATCCAATGATATTTCAAATTTCTTTAATCAACTTCAAATATAGCACAAAAAAAATGAAGGCTACTTGAAATCGAAATCTCCCTGTTTTTATCCCTATTTGACTTTTTGTCGCCCAGGTCTCGTTGTCAAGCTTTTCTTGTGTTGATGGGAGATCGGAGTATGGTGGGAGAACAACATTGTTCTTGTCACCGGGGTCTCTTTTTCAACATCCATTGATTTTGCTTTGATATCCCTTATCGATGCAGCAACCCGATGCCCGCGATGCTTCGACCACGATACCTAATATCGGTGATCCTCCTCCATGTTTGCAACCTTCAGATCTCACTAGTAACCTTTATTGTTTTGGAACATGTAGATGAAACGGTGTCCGATGAGGGCGTCAATGAAAGTTTCTAGAGTGAGAATGTGAAACTGAATGGTAACAGTGCAAGTAAATGTGAGACCTCCGGCAACCATTACTAGTAATCACGATAAATTAAAATTCTTGAAGTTAAATTCTAAGATGAAACGGGTTTGGGAGGTTCATGTTAGCATCAATGAGGGTTAGACCCATCTTGATAAGTATCAAGACATCTAGATTACAATGGAGGAGGGGGTAGTAACTAAAAGGGGTCTTTTGACGGAAGGGTAAAGTCGACTTTGAAGCTATTAAGGAGAAAGGTTGAGGATGAAGGTAAGTGATGGGACCCATATTTTGTATTAAACATTTTTTTAAATAAAATAATACACAAATAAAACAATAAAAAAGTTTATAAAAATAATAAAAGAGGGTAATATAGTTGTTTCATTTTTTTAGAGAGACCAACACTACAAGAAATCATGTCATTGTTGGCGACACATTTAGCGGTGACAAATACTTTTACCGGTGACTTAACTCATGCTTGAGTCGCCCATAAAAGTATTTGTTGCCGCTAAAGGGTCGTAGGTAATGCGTTGGGACCGAATCCGCGTGAACCCTTTTGGGTAAACCCCACTTGTTTGATTGATACTCTAATCTAACGGATGGGGCTCCATTTCGCTTAAAATCAATACCGGCGACACAGTTGTCGACGATAATAGTCGCCATTAATGGTCGGAAAAAACACACGCTTTCTTCCCTCCATGTGTGTCGTCACTATAACCCTTGGAGTCGTCATTATTGCTTGCCGCTGGTAATAGTCGACGTAGATAACCCCTTTTCGTGTTTGTCTTCTTTCTTTTCTGCTTCCCTTTTCACTTCAGCTTCCTCTCGTCGACTTCCTATTTCCACCGACGATTCCGACATAAATTACTCCGATTGAGGCCGAATACCACCACCCCACGACCGTCGGAGACCACCACGCAATAATAGCGATGACGACGTGAGATTTTCCGACGACAAAGTTCTTTTCTGGTGAAGAAATAAGCATCGTTTTTGTGTTTCTATTTTGCTTTCTCATCTCACCACTGATAAGTGTTTTTTTTCTGATTTTTTAAGAGTTCTTGGCAAATTTGTGTTTAATAGACCGGAAATTGCAGCTAGCTAGAATCTCGCGAGAGAACCACCGCTTTCCACCTAAAAATCTTGAAAACAGCCATTGAATCTCATAAAGGCGGCTATCATAGGTTAGTTTATTTGTGCTCTCGTATTTTTTATATGTATATGTGTATTTGTGCATAATATATATATATATATATATATATATATATATATATATATATATATATATTATATATATATATATATATATATATATATATATATATATATGCGCGTGTATTTGTGTATACAATTAGTGGTATGTGTATATATGTATGTGTATTGTATTTCTATGTATAATATATACATGAGAATTAGAAATTATGTTTTTTATATGTGCATTTGTACGAAATAGAAAATTGTATATGATTTGGAATGTATATGTTTATTTGTATGTGTATTTGGTGTATATGTGGTATATGTATCTGAAAGTATGTGTATTTGATATAAGTAAGATGCTATTATATATGTATATGAAAGTATATGTATTTGGTATAAGTAAGATGCTATTATGTATTTGATATATGTATGTGAAGGTATGTGTATTTGGTGCATATGTGGTATATGTACGTATATTTGGTATAAGCAGGATGCTATTATTTGACAGTGTTATTTAAAGTAAAGCACTATAACGAAAAAAAACAAATAAAGTAAGATGATATTATTGACAATGGTATTTAAAGTAAGCTACTATAATGGAAAAAATAAACAAAAAAGGTTGGATGCTATTATTGACAATGCTATTTAAAACAAACTAGTAGAATAGAAAACAAGAACGTAGTATAATTGTTTAAAATACAATGCTATAATTGAAAAAAAAACAAAAATAAAATGTTATAGATAACAAATATATGGATCTTGTTTCTTTACAACAACATAATATAATTGTTTAAAGTACAATGTTATAATGTGTATTCGTAGCATATATTATATATGTATATCTAATAATTTTTTAGGTAATGACGTCAATTTAGATCTTGTTTGTTTACACCATGGCTGTTGTTATGAGTCGTGGACATGGGGGCGATGTAGTCAGGGATCCACCACACCCAGGGGCATCACAACCAGTTTTGGGGCTCTAAGCGAACCAAAATTTTGGGGCCCTTTGGCCTTTACTTTACTTAATATTATAAACCCTCATTCTTTAACCAGATTCACTACAAAAAATATGTCATTTAGTGGCATACAAAAAGTGCCACTAAAACCCAAAAAAAGCCATTAAAGGCTTTTCATAGAATGAGCGGCACACATGATAAGTGCCACTAGAAACGCTCCCACTAAAACCCTTTAGTGACACTTTTTGTTTTTGCCGCTGCATTTTTTAAGCTTTTAGTGACACTTTTTTATTTGTCATAATAGAAGAAAAGTTTTTTGTGACATATATTTTGTTCCATTGAATACCCATTTGATTCAAGAAGTTATTCTACTTTTAGTTACATATTTTAAGATTTTAGTGGCACTTTTTTATTTGCCACAATACAAAAAAATATTGTGACACTTTTTGTACCGGTAAATACTCATAAGATTCTATAATTTATAATACTTATATTCACATAATTTTTATCTATAATATAAAATAAAATAATTAATTAAACTGTAGCACATTGAAAATAATATAAATTCCATTCCATCAAACAAATCAAACATCATTTTCTTTTATATTCCAATGGAATGAACCATTCCCTTCATTCCTAGATTCAATCATAACAAAAAAACACTACCTACAAAAAATATTTGGAGACATTCCAACATGTTGAATCTTTCTTTCATGGACATGGATGTCATCATCTTTATCATCATTATCACCAGGTTCTTCCTTATAGCCCTCATCTAGTTACATTCAAGAAAAATTATATATAAAAAAGTAAGTAAAATTTAAAACATATCTTTTTTGTAATCTTTTTCTGCTACTTTCATAAAAATTACTATAAATTGCTAAGTTTCTTAAACAATAAACAAGAAAAAAATAAATAAAATGTTTTTTTGACTTCTTTCTTTTCCAAATGGAATGAACCATTCCATTCCTTTTGCAATCCCCTACTATTCATCTCTTAATATAAACTATAAACTGATATGTTTGGACATTTGGCTATAAATGTTTTTTTAACCAATTACAAACATGAGTATTGTTAAAGATGCAACTGCTTTACATTCTTATTAGGACCTAATATTTGGTGGAATATAAGGGGAGAATTAATAGCATGTATAAGATAATGGAATAATAACTTATGTAAAATAATTAATAAAATTATTCTCATACTTTTGGATATTTACCTGTCAATAGCTTCCTTGTAGCCTAGTTGTCCATTTGTACCTATGCCGCATGAAAACACATTAGCTCCATACACATGACTTCTGAACAACATTTTGTGAATAAATAAATTAGGTTAAATTTGTTACTGATGATACAATATTTTTAAAATTTTTTTTTTAACGAAATGTCAAATGAAAAATGACGTGCCTTCTCATCTGAAAATTTGGCTTGCATAGGAAAGCAATGGTCCTGATTGTCCCCAATACCAATATGCCCAAAATGTACACAAAAATATTCATAAGATGGTGATAATATTATTAATATATTTATGAAATTACCATTCTAACCTTGTTCCATCCCCATCTGTAAAGCTTTCCATATGGAGTTAATGTCATAATGTGCCTCCATCCACCTGAAATATGGCTTATCAAAAATCACATTCACAACCAATATTACTTAAATAGTTAAATGTTACACATACACACACATGCGATATGAATTGGCCATGTAATGCTTCGAGTTTATGAGGGACAAGATGGTCTTTAAAATCTTCATGACCAAGTTGACCGTATTTGCTCTAACCTAAAGTATATAAATCATGAAAAGAGGAAAGAGAGATCGTATGCCTCCAACCACATGGAACAAGTATCATCTTCTCCCCCTGTAATACCACACATAGAAGAAAATTGTTTGAATAATTATTTAATGATGGAAAATAATATATAAAGTAGATACATACATTGATAATTGAAGCTTTCTCAGGAACGTGTGATCTTTTCTGTCAACTAAGCCCAAATTATCTTATTGGCCCCAACCCCAAGATCCTCATCTTCAATGCTAGCAACAATATGCTCAACACAAGTAATACCGATTTTGACCATTATACCCTGGTTAAACCACATAAAATCCAACAAATATAAAGCTTCCACTTTTATTATGGAATGATAATAAATGATAGAAAATATAGTTTACCTAAAAAAGTTCAATCTTTTGTGGAACAAGAGAGTCCTCAATGGTTCCTAAACCAACTTGACCGTTTTGATTCCAGCCCCAACTACAGTGAAGTCAAACACAAGAAATTAAAATAACAAGTGAAATAACATATGATTTAAAAATTATCTAGGAAACTAGAAAGTCTACTTGATGTACAAATTTACAAACCTCTGCACCTCGCTTTCCATGGTCACAACTAAACAATGGCTGTCACTACAAGCAATTTGCCTTATATGCAACCCTTGTAATGTTTTTATTAGCTAAAGAAATCAGTGGAGTTGCCATGGCCTAGTTGTAACAGCCCGTTTATTTAATAAATAAATAAACAAATTAATGAATGAATAGTAGCCCTAAAATCAATAATTATATAGCAAGGTGTGATTTTGAGGAGTTAACTGGCATAATTTAGAAGTCGGGGGTTAAAAGTGTAAGTTACGGATCAGTTTTGTAAGTATTTATGAAGGAAGGGACTAAATGGTAACTTCTGGGACTTCATTTGAAGAGATTTTGGGGCTAAGGGGCTGTTTGGTAAATTAGGGATCGGATTTGAGAGGAAATATGGAAGCAGGGGTGTAATTGGTAAATATTGTACCTACATTGTAATGGATTTTTAATGTTGGGGTTAAAAGGGTAAAATATGGGCTGACTTTGAAAGAAAAGGTGAAGGGAGGGACTATTTGTGACATTATGGTAATATGCTTAAGGGTGTCGGGTATTTAGTTGTACATAACCTTAACCCTAGCGGATAAAGGAGCAGCCGTCACTCTCACTCCTTCAATCTCCGGCGCCGCACCACCTTACCCCTCCCACCCCAACGCTGCCGTCTCCTCCATCGAACCACCACGTCCATCCCATCTGCCGACGAGGACATTCATCGATACTGTTTCATTGCCACCGAACCACCGATGACCGACTACGACCCCGACGACGGACGAGACCGTTACCACGGCTGCTGTAACTGTTCTCGATCACTATTCCTCTTCTTCTTCTATTTATTCCGCCGACTGCTGCCTTGCCTTTGAAGCGCCTTCCGTTTCAATTCGTGGATTACCGTTCCATCACCGTTCTCTCCGATTGTCATGCGCCACCGCAAGGGTGGCGGTGCTTAGATGCATTTCCAGCGGGCACTCGCGCGTGTGGACCTGTTCCGGGGGCAGAAGACCAACAGAAAACGTTGCCACCACCGTGAGGTGGTGGCTGTCATCGCAAAATCACCGCCACTGCCGCTTCTCCGTGATTCTGTCGTCGCCAAACGCCACCAGGTGGGTGGCTGGAGTGGATATTGCAATCTGAAGTGTGTGTATGTGTGTTTTGTGGGGCTGGAAAACCAAGGAAGCCACCACCACCACCGTGAGGTGGTGGCTGCCGCCATGTACCGCCGGCCACCACTAGAGTGGTTGTGTGTGTCTGTGTTTGTATTAGTATGTGTGTGAGCTATTTGGGTTTTTGGGTTGTAAAATGTAACTAGAAAGAAGAATAATGAAAAGAAACTCAAACCACCACCGTGAGGTGGTGGCTGCCGCCACCGACCGCCGTGTTGGGTGGTTGTGTGCTTTTGCTCGCGTGTAGTTCATTTTTGGATGCGTGGACAAAATGGACTAGAAACCCTAACCACCACCGTGAGGTGGTGGCCGCCGCCGTGAGCCGTCGTTGACCTAAAAGCCCAAACATGTGACTAATGGGCCTAGTGAAACCCTAATGGGCCTAATGAAACCTAATGGGCTTAAAGACTTGGTTTTGGGCCTATTGGGCTATGAATGGGTTGGAAACCCTAATTAGGGTTTAGAAAACCCTAATTTTGGGACATATGGGCCTTAGACTTATCGGGACCCACATTTGGGCCATTGGAATGGAATTGTGAATTACACCAGTCACACTATATGACTTATCTAGTAGAGTGATGGACTTAATGAATTAAGTCCTTAATGGGTTAAGTGAGAAACACTTAACCCTAATTGTCATTTTATGTGAAATCCTAATTTCACTTGGGCTTTGAGTTGAGTCTTCCTATTGGGCTTTGGTGATTGGGCTATTAATGGGCCATCCAAGAACAAGAAAATGGACTAGAATAATTTAATGGGCTTTAGGGTAAGGCCCATGTGATGGGTTTGGGCCCAATTTGGAAAATTGGGCCATATTCGGCCTTTATGATTATGATATATTGGGCCATTAGAAATGCCAAATGTTTGGACTGGACTAATTGGTTTGGCCTTAGAATAAGACCATGTAAAGGTTTGGGCCTAATTTGGAAAATTAGGCCATATGTTGGGCTTGGACTCATAGTTGACTTTTGGGCCTTTGGATTGGACCTTGGGCTTGAATCAAGCCAAGTTAGGGGTAGAGTAGTCTTTTACCCCCCAAGCATGGACTTATGGTTATGTATTGGAACCCAATTATTAATTGGGTGATGTTTTGATGTTGACAGTTCGGGAATCTGTCATCCAGCAGCTGGGGTTGGGTCTGCGGGACTTCAGCAGTGTGAGGTGAGTTACCTTCCAGTAGAAGTGGGCCTAAGGCCACAATGCCGGCCCACTAGTAGGAGTTGTTTGTTAGATGATTGTCTTTGTGATAATTATCTGGTATGCCATTATCTGTTATGTTTTTGTGGTAGGATGCTCTGTGATACATGTTAGTAGTAGTAGGGGTGAAATAGTCCCCGGTTACCGGTTGAAAGATACGGAAGAGGAGGTCAGCTCCCGGATACCGGTTGAAAGATACCGAAGGGTAGGTTGGGCACCCAGATATGCCTGACAACATGTTTATGTATGTTATGCTATGTTATTATGTGGTAGTGGTAGGGGGTGAAATAGTCCCCATTATCCGGTTGAAACAGACCGAAGGGGGAGGCCAGCACCCAGATATGCTAGGCAGTTATCCGGTTGAAAGAGGCCGAATGGGAGGCCAACACCTAGATATGCTAGGCAGTTATCCGGTTGAAATAGACCGAAGGGGAGGCCGACACCCAGATATGCTTGGCTATGTATGTTATTGTATGGTATGTGGTATGATGGGGGAACTCACTAAGCTTCGTGTTTACGGTTTTCAGTTTTGGTTTCAGGTACTTTGTTTTCAAAAGGAAAGGAGCCGGCGATCGCAACGCATCACACTATGATTTTCCTCACATGAGATCTTTGGGATTACACTCTGATATTATTCTATGATAACATGTTTTGATTACTGACACTTTGGTCTTGACATGTGATGTTATTATGAATGTTTTTATACTGTTGGTTTTATAATAACTTGATTAAAAACGAAATTTTTGGTCTTGAATTTTGGGATGTTACACTAGTCTTCGAAATCGCCCCTGAGACTGAGACCAATAAGGGTAAAAATGGGATAAGCACTTTTAGCAAACCTATTCTTCCAAACATAATTTTACTACCAATAAATGTTAAAATGAAGCAATAGATAGTAACTAAGAGATCATTCCATCACCAACTGTATACATTTAAACTTGACTCTGAAAATGCAGTAGTATGATCAACTCCAAAGGTACGATATACTATTTCTTAACCATACAAAGCTTAAAACCAGGTCCAACATAACCACATGAAAACAGCAACAAAAATAACCCTAAAAATCAAAATTAAAAATATTGTCATAAGTTATTATATAAAGGCTTTATATATCATACTAATACTAGCAATCAGATTATGGAAAGTAATATATATTGATCATATATTAAATAAATTCGTTACTTAGTACTTACATTATATTACATTAAATATATCTTGGGTTTTATAGTAGCTAGGGAGTTTAACGAGGGTTGTATTGTCATTTGAGACATGTCGTGTACAAGAGTTAAGATCAATCTTGAATTTAGATCAGAAAAGTATATAGAAATAGTGAAAGTTGCTACTCTTTGCCATAGGCAACTTAGTCTTAGTCTATTGAAACTATAGAAAACTTATTTGTGTTATGTGCTTTATCAACTGCAGTTGACATATTATCCATGTGCAATTAGGCTCGAGGACGAGCTTGCTGATATCGGGTCACATATATAACTAAGCTCTTAATCAGCAATAAGGTTCACTACTACAAATTATGTATCCCTACGCCCTCAATCTAATTAAAAGCCTCAAAGTAATTATACAACCACCATGGAGTATTTATATTTTATACTTACCTAATTATTTGTCAATTTTCATTATTTCGTTGTGGTTCTCAGTAAATTTAATTATCAACGAACAAAATTAAGTAACAGTGCATGGTTTCTAATGGATGCTAAGTGAAAACTATCACAAAGAGAAACAAACGTACATGTTTTCTAAATAATCAAACACAAAATGATCATAATCGCATTTGAAATAGGTGATAGTTAAACGAGAACCTGGAATTTCGATAAAAAAGCTTCAGAGTTTGGAATACGCGATGTTCTAAACCTAATTCCAGTATGTGATGTTCAACAACTTGTTGCTCCAGTCCTATGGTCGTCAGGCTCTCGGCTCTGAGGAGCTTGTGAACGACGATGAAATTAGCATAATCAGAGATAAAATCAAAATCGAATTTCAACAACACAGTTTGGAATACCGAAGTTCTGCAACTTGATGTCAGATTCCGACGGTGGTAGGTTGGGGATCTAGGCTCTAAAGAGCTTGTGAATGGTGATTAAATTAGGGCATGAAATGATCAAGGAGTGTGTGAAAGGGGAAATGAGATTTCAGCTAAGCATCATTGGCACTTACAGGTCCTATTCGCTAAACTTGTGTCCATCTTCAATGAATTTTAGGTCTTTTAGTGGCACAAAACAAAACCATAATCCTCCAATCTTCCATAATACAGATTATAAAACTAGGTCGATATTTCTTTTAGTGGCAAAAAAAAAATATATAATATTACAATAAAACTTTTTTGTGGTATTTAATAAAATGTATAACACAATATATATATATATATATATATATATATATATATATATATATATATATATTAATGTCATTTTTATATCATTGTGCCATAGCGACACAAATTGTTAAATACCACTAAAGTCGTTAAATTTATAGTGACACATAAAATATGTCACTAAAAACATGATATAGTGGCATAAACAAAATTTGCCATTAAAAATGCATGCCACTAAATGACGTTTTGTTTGTAGTGATTATTTTAACTCAAATATGCACAACTCAACACAAGAATCAATGAACAAGCCATTAGCCATATATATATATATATATATATATATATATATATATATATATATATATATATATATATATATATATATATATATATATATATATATATATAGACACGTATTTTCCCTAACGGACTTGAATATCCAAGTATTTCTATTTAATATGCTAAGAAAATAAACGTTTTACACAAACCATTAGTTATAGTCAATTCATGAATCAAATAGAATACCTTGACAAATTCATTAAACACAAATTAATAAAAAAAACAACTCAAAAAAAAAAAAACAAATAGAAACAAAGAAATCGATAATAAAAGGTATCAAGTGAAAACAGATAATGGAAAAATCGGCTATTAACCTAATCTGATAATGGAAAAATCAAGTGAAAAAGCACTGCACAGTTCACATATCTTAATCATCATATTCTTCAAAGATTTCGAGAATGGAGAAGGAAGAAGCTATTTCAGCGGTTCAAGAATCAGCCAACCTTTCTTTCAGTGTTCAACAGTTCAAGAATCGAGATTGAGAGTTTGCGAGAATCAATTGCTTTAGATTTGAGAATGGAGAATAAGCCGATCACTAATTAGAGATAACGAGATTTAAAGTGCGAGTTTGTGACTGCAAGAATGGAGAAGGAAGGAAGAATAACAAAAGTGTAATCGTCGCTTTAATTTGAGGCGTGCATGCGTATCAGAATGCAGAATGCAGAAGCCGAGAAAAGTGTAATCGTCGCTTTATTTGTGATTATTGCATGTGATAGTATGCTTATATGTCTATATGCTTATATGTGTATCGGGCGAGGCCCGATGTTAGGCGGGGCCTGGTGATTGATAGATTTGTAAACCGAGCGGGGCTCGATGTCGGGCGGGGCCCGAGACCGGGTGGGACTCGATGCCGGGAAGGGCCCGATGAAGGGTGAGGGCCTAGTATGTGTTATTTATGTATGGTATGTGGTATTTTGGGGGAACTCATTAAGCTTTGTGCTTACGGGTTTCGGTTTATGTTTCAGATACTTCAGGATCGGAAGGGAAGAGCTCAGGATGATTGCAGAGCAACCACCCGCGCTGAATAATAACATTAACCAATGTTAGGACTTCACTTGATCAAAGGGACCCAAACCCCAAGTCCTTCCATGAAGGCCCAACTATCATTTCTTTGTTAATGGGCCCAAAGTCCATGACCAAAAATAATAAATGGGCCTCTTGGCCCAATAAGACCGTACCATAACACCAATGGCCCAATACAAATAAAATGGCCCATTATTCACAAAATGCAACCAAGTCCAATAACCAAATGAGGCCCAACAGATCAAAGGCCCAAAACAGATCCAAGCCCATCTGATGCGTACGCTTAGTGTACCACCCTGGTACGCGCAACATACTAGGGCTCTAGGACATACGCGCAGCGTACACTGGGTTACGCCCAGCGTACTAACAGGTTAAGCAATTTTCCCATTAAGTGCTTAATACTTGATTCTTTTACGTCCAAAAGTCAGATCTACGTTTATTAAGACGACCTAAGGCATAAAGTTGGCAACTTTATGCCTTTGCATGCCTTATATGATCTCAACACCCCCATTAAGACCTTTCTAAGGTTCTTAACCCATGCATGAGGTCAAAACACCCACCAAGACTCCATTTTTATGTTGAAAAAGGACCAAGGGACTTCAGATCTGTCATATCCATCCTCTGGAGTTGCTTAACTCACAAGTGGAGGTCCAAAATTAACCAAAGGGACAAAACTAGAAAACCCTAGCTAGATCTAAAGATTAAGATGGAAAGGTCCAAGCTTTATACCTCCAGAAGCTCCTCAAGGTCAACTATATGCAGATTCTTGAAGCCAAATGACACTCCAAGCTTCCTTGACAACTTCTCTTTCTTGAATGAACACTATAAGGACCACAAATGCACTCTTAAGGCTCAAAATGCACTCACAAATGGTATTAGGGTTTTGAGAAACGTTTGAAGGTGAAGGAGGCTGTCTAGGGTGAGGCTCAAATGAGTTAAGGTTGTTTATATAGGTCACAAGTCCGGATTTTAGGGTTTGGACATTCGGCACGTACGCCCAGCGTACTCCTGGTACGCCCAACGTACGTGCTGCCCCTCCGCGATCCTCCTCGCCAAGTACGCTAAGCGTACTCATAAGTACGCCTAACGTACTTAAGGGCTTCTTATGTCATTTTTGAAATACTTCAAGGGCTACAATGTCATACCTGATTTAGAGTGTTACAGCATGTTTCGAGAAAGTATTAGGTTCTCGGCGTGGCCATATCAAAGGCATCAGACGAAAACCTTGTGTTATCCTGCCGATTGCACAACCATCGCAGCCACCACTACAGTCACAACTATCACAAGTAAAAAAGACTATTATATATATATATATATATATTATATTATATATATATATATATATATATATATATATATAAATTCATGTTTGATTTGGTAATTTTGTTTGTAATTGTGATTTTGTCCTAAGTGCAAGAAATAACAATGTACTTTGGTATTTCTTATATTTAAGGTTCTTTAGCAATACATAAGTAGAAAGTAAGCTACCATTTCATGTAAAACAAGACTAGTTAATTTCAAAGTCTCATATATTTATATAGTGATCAGTAACACCTTGTTGATTTGGTAATTGTTCTTGTAATTGTGTTTATGTTCCAAGTGCAAAAAATAGCAATGTACTTTGTTTTTTTTTCCCTAGTCTAAAAATGCCAATGTACTTTGGCATCAATAAATGCATGTTGAATTGATAATTGTGTTTATGTCCCAAGTGCAGGAAATAACAATGTACTTTTGGTATTTCTTGTATTTAAGTGCAAGAAATAGCAATGTACTTTGGTAGTTTTTGTTTATGTTGATAGTTTAACTTATAAGTTTATATATGTTGTTATTTATTATGTAGTTGGAAAATCTCAGTGCAATGCTCAATGGCCTGACGTGTATGGAGGAACTTTATGCATTTTTTCAATCGGGGAAACCGCAAAGTGATGATCAATGAGGACATGCCAGGAGTGGAGATAATGGTTTGCCGGATTAGTTTGTGTTTGTCCGTTTGACTTGTGGTGACATAACTTTATAACACTTTTGTTGTTTTTTTGGTATTTGTATGAAATTATAACACTTTGGTACCTAATTGGATGTCGTTATGTATTTGTTTTCAACATTTAATGTCGTTAGGTATCGTTTTTTCTACACACGACAACTGTTGATTTGAACGGCGAAAAAGTTATTTGCAACGACAAATATCTTTAGCGGCGACATTTTGAACAATAGCGACAGAGCAGTATCGACGACTTTTTAGCGGCGACGTGTGACCGCTATTACTTTTACCGACGACAAATTATAGTTTTAGCAGTGATTTTTGTCGCCGCTAATGCCTCGTTTTCTTGTAGTACAAACATACAACCAAAACATGTCATAGGTATGGTTCGATTAAAAACTAAGTTACAAACCGAACGTAAAATTACCCAAACCACATGGACCATTCGTGTAATTTACTATAATAAACAACATATCTTTTTTATCAAACGCTTGTATCCCAACGGTATCAGAAGTTTGTGGAAGGGTGTCCCTCAACTAAATGTTAAGGTTCAAGTCTCGCTGAAGACGAAATGAATAGTTTACGAGTAGTGTAAGTAGTTTGTTGTGTTTGCGGTTTTAAAATAATAAATTATTTAAATGTAAACCCACATTATGAACTAGGGATAATGATTTAAAAGGGTAATATATTTTTCGATTTGTACACATTTGGTCACTGAGTTTTTTTTTTCGTCCACATTTACCCCTTCAACTTATTAAACTGTACATATTCATTCCTTATGACTTGCTACTCTAGGTTAGCCGGTAAAAATGACTTAAAATGGTAATATATTTATCATATTGTACACATTTAGTTCTTAATATATTTGTATACATTTAGTCCTTAATTTTTTTTTGTTGCAAAATAAGTCAATTTTGGTTTTCTACTCGTTCAGTACTTATGAATGATTCTTTAGGTTTTTCTTACGACATCTTATGTGAGACATTCATTAATGAAGTGTTTGGGGCTTTTGATGTTTATGTCTATCGCGATCTCGACTACAACTTTCATTTAGATTACTCTCGTTAAAAAATAATATATTTTTACATACAAACAGTAAAATAGTCTTATTAGCAGTAGGGGTCATCTTCTTCAACCTCATTGGTCACTGCTATGGTACACTCGGCTATGGTGGTCTCCAGTATGGGTTCTACAATGGCAAATGCCGAACTTCAGATGTTGAAGATATCGTAAGAAGGACGGTCTACTCCAAGTATCTCACTAACAGAAAAATTGCTCCCGCTCTCATCCGCATGCAGTTTCATGATTGCTTTGTCAATGTGAGTTGATTTCATATCGTAATTTACTTGTACTTCCTTAAAGACTTCCATGTCTATCTATTGGTAGTGGTTTGGTGCTGCTTGTCCCTACTAGTTGTTCTTTGTTTCTTGCTTCCTTTGGTGTACTCTTCCCAGATACTTGCTGGTTTTTTTCTGTTGGTTTTCATTCTAACTTTTCATTAATCTAAAGGGTTGCGATGCGTCCATCCTACTAGACGGACCCAACACAGAGAAAACCTCACCCCCGAATTTAAGCGTTAGAGGCTATGATGTCATTGATGCTGCCAAAGCCGCGGTCGAGAATGTTTGCCCAGGATTGGTTTCTTGTGCCGATATAATCGTTATGGCTACAAGAGACGTCGTCTCCTTCGTAAGAAACAATAGCTTTTGTCCATTCACCAATATTAAATGCACTGCAAAAATAACCTTAAGATAATGTAATAAATGCAGAGCGGTGGAGCTAGATACAGTGTCCAAACAGGAAGAAGGGATGGACTTGTGTCTCTTGCACAAAATGCTCTAACCCTCCCACCTCCTACTTCTTCGGTGTCAAGTGCCATTCGAGCATTTGCTCTCAAGGGATTCACAGCCACCGACATGATCTATCTCCTTGGTAATTCACCAACTTAATTCGATCTTATATATCAATATTATATAAAGCATAAAAAGTTTGCTCAACGTGTGTGTGAATTGTGATGTACAGGTGGTCACACTATCGGAATAGCTCATTGTTCATTGTTTAAAAACCGTCTTTACAATTACAAGAACACTGGGAAACCAGACCCGTCCATGGATTTATCGCTGTTATCATCGTTGAGGAGTAAATGCCCTCAGAACACGACAGCTGATCCCACTGCCAACTTGGATCAAAACCCTTTTA